TTAATTCTTTCTCTCACATTCTTGTAAAATAAACATATACTTTGTTTTAATGTTTGAAAACATTTTTTTGCGGAATAGTTTTCAAATAAATTGTAATCAGATATAATATGAGAGCTATTTCTCAAGTGACAATTCTATCCTTAGATGTGGCCTAGGATACTAGAGAAGGAAATACCTCACTGAGAATGGATTTCAGGGCCACAGACAACTCTCCCCACCCTAGGGTAGAGGCCTGCAGAGCATTAACCCAGAGGGATTTCAGAATTGCTATGGACCAAACACTGCTGTATTTCTCAAATTCTTTCTCTTTCTTAGTGGAATTATTTTTCAGTTATTCTGTCTCATTTCTCTGTGGCTTAGTGTGTGTGTGTGTGTGTGTGTGTGTAGGGGATAATGGTTATGGTTGTGAAAAATGATTCTTTCTATTAGTGCATATCTAGATCAAGTGAAGCCACATCTATGCTGGGTATGGAACCTCCCATGTATCTCATCCTGATGAAGAGGTCACCAGGAATCACTCAGAAAGCCTGGACCCTGAGCTGGGAGGCAGTAACAGGTAGAACTTGGGTTGTCTCATTTAGGGAAGGGTGGTTGGTATTTTTTTAATGTGGGAAGGACAGTCAAACAAATATCTGTTGACTAGGTGGACAGTCTGTGGTGCTCATTAATGCTGTTCATAAAATAATTTTGGTTTTTCTCCCAGCCACATTATAGATTTCACTTCCCTATCCTTCAGTATGGTCATATGACTTGCTTTGGCCAATAAAAGGTGAGTAAAAATGATTGGTGTCACATGTAGGTGAAAACTTGAAGAGCTTGTGCTTTCTTTTCCTTCTTCCTCAGTATCCGGCAGTGTGCCTGCCCTGTCTGCTTGGGATGCAGATGAAGTAAAAGCAGAGAAGAGCCTCCATTGATTTGCAATGAACATGAAGCAAGAATTATTTTCAGTAACTGAAAATCGGGGCTTGCTTGTCACTGTAGTACCACTTAGTCTATTTGTGATTCAAAGAGATCATATTAATTCTTTATGAAATCACTTTTTATTTTGGTGGGATTGTTTTCCTATCCAGTGAGCATGAAAGTAGACGGCAGTGGTTCTAACTGGCCTTGTAGAATTGGGGGCAGGTTTCCAGTGCAGGCTGGGTGACAGAAATCCAGATATGGTCTCTGAGGATCATTAAGGAAAGTCATGGTAAGGTTCATGGTCAGGACAGGAGTAGGACCCTCATATAGTATGGGAAGTATCCAGGCTATGCTCCAAAGTATCCACAGGCTGGCTGTAGTGCTGGGTAGGGCATCGAGCCACACCAGGGGACCACCGCTCTAGCACAGCTGTGCTCAGTGACTAATGATTCCTGTGCAACCTCTGAGTCAGTGCCTTGCTATACTAATTAGTTTCATGGACTCTTGCCAGATGACAGTCTCTCTTTCCTGGTATCCTAGGGAATTCTGACATACTGAGGAAACTCTCGTCAAGTTCTATTGAAACGATTCAGGAACTTTTGACTATCATGTGACATATGTCAGACATCAAGTAGGTGACCTCAGCTCAGAAACACTTTTTCTTTCCTTGCCTCGTTCATGCTTTGTTTCCTTCCTGGGTTTTGTGTTCCTGCTCCCAGAGCTGCACTACCAGTATATGCACTGACCCCATCGTTAATTGCATGGATCTCTCCAGAACTCACTCTTTTTTCCAGAGGGGCCCAGTCTCCTCTAGCTCACGCCTGGTTGGCTGGTCTTCTGAAAGCATATTCTTATATCAGAGCCCGCCTCTCCCTTCAGTCCTCCATGGTGAATGGTCCAAGTCACAAACCTTAGTATTTTCACGGAGTCCATCACCATGAGGTGGGTCATCGCAAAGGACTAATCTGCTTATTTGGGGAGTGTTTTCCTTCCCCTTTGCTCTCACTGGTACTTCAAAGCACCACAGCCCTTAAGGGAGCAAAAACAGAGTCCAAAGGATCCAAGTGAGAGAAAGAAGGGTTACACGCGTGTTCTTTGGAGAGCTGCTTTTCCTGATTCCAAACAGAAGACTAGCCTGGGTTGGTGTGTTGGAGGAAAGGAAGTGAGAAGGGAGCAGAGAGCTTTGAACTTGAGAGTGGCCTCCCATGGCCTCATGCCTGTGGGGAATTCATTGCCCACAGCCCTGTGACTTCCATGAACAGAGGGCTGGGACTTGGGCAACTTGTGTGGCCAATGTGGTACTTTAGAGAGCCAACTGGCCATTTTGATACAGGATTCTGTATTCAATCGTTTCCTATTCATAGCCCCAGTCTGAAACTGGCTAAGGTTCCAGAACAATAAAAGGCATTAGCAACTCAGAGGCAACCATGGAACTGCTCATGATGATCTAAAATTAAAATCTGGTTTCAAGCTAAGTATTTTATTATTACACAAGCTTATTGTCTAGATGAATCCATATTTTTATAAGTCCTGTTTTATTAGTAAGTGATAGTACATTTTCTTGGCCAATTCCAACACCATTTGCTATTCCCTTTTCTCTATCAGTACCTTTCATAGGTTGCACACAGATGGGCCAGGGAGAAGGACTTGAGTTAGGATTACCTTGCCAACATGCGCCGACCGTAAGTTGCATGGCTATGTGCGATGGATGAATGGGCCAATCGTTGGTCACCAGGTAAGGTTCATATGTTGCTCCATCCATGTATAAGGTAACCACAGGAAACTCCACATTGATGACATAGTAATGCCACTCTTTGTCACAAATCTAATGAAAAGAAAGAGAAGCAACACTTAAAATTGAATATGCAATGAAATAGCAACAGGCCTTTATCCGAATTATCAAAAGTGGAGAAGGCATTTTTGGGTCAACAATTTTTATTGCAAAGAACTCAATGAACATAGTGATTGATAAACACTGAAGTTATACAAGCTCACATCAAACAGGATGGGGCAAACCATGGGGCAGAGGAATGCCTGAGAATGCAATCATCAGGCAAACATCTGAGTGAGGGCAGGTCACGTAACTACCAGCTATATAGGCTGGAAAGCTCTTGGTGGACAGGTGGGGAAGTGTCAGCTTAAATTTGCTTTGTATAAAATTTTTCTTACTAGAGAAAAATTAAATTGAAATTATTTTTCTAAGTTTGGGGATAGACAAAGCTATAAAAGGAAACATGCTAGATCAAAAGTAGAAATGAAGATGGAGAAGGGCATGAGAAAGGCAAAAAAAGAAGAAAATGGAAGAGGAAAGAATTAGAGTAAAAAAGGAGTAAGAGAAAAGGCAATGAACATGGGAAGAGGAAGAGGGAGGAGACGCAGAAGGACGCCCCCAATTCCTTTGTGTGAAGCTTTGCCTGGGGTGCTGGTGTAATCTCATGCTCTGTTTAACTCAAGCAAAATCCATTCTGAGAGAGACAGTCTTCCTTCAGAGGACTCGGCCTTGTCCTACCTTGGAGCACCTGGGGAGGCTTAGAAGGACCACAGATAGGTCCTCCTGGCCTGGACGTGGTCCTCCTGACCACTAAGACTTGTGGTCTTAGGGCTGGGAACCAAAACTGAACCCTAATCGGTGGACAGGAACATTGGGGACTAGGAGGGAGTCACAGTTCCTGACCTCAAGGGGCTGAACCCCCAGCATCTCCAAAATGTTAAACCAAGATTGGGGTATTTTGGGGAAGGAAGATCGGAAGCATAAAAGAAAGAAAGGCTGAGGAACAATGCTCCCCTCTAATCCTGAGGAGTGCCTTGGAAGTCAGGGTAGACTTTCTCTCTTCCACACTCCCTGTCCCTGTCATCCCTCGGCGCCCCACGGAGTCCATCTCCAAAATGTCTCTCATCTGTATCCTCTTGTCTCCATGGCCCCTGCCATCTGTGGTAGCAGAGACAGATGAGTTCTGCGTGAAGGTGACCCCAAGGTGAGGGCATCAAAGCCCTCCCCACATCCCACAATGGATTAAACGCGCTGTTTCTCATGAATAGATAACACCAACAGGGACGCTAAATGATCTTTTCCCTTTCATTTTGCAGTAAGAATTTTTCCTTAATGTTCTTTTTATATTGTCCTATCTCATGTCTCAGAAAATTGCTCCTTTTGAAGCCCATTAGGCTGATAAAGCCTGATGAATATTTTAGGGGTCCGTGGAAGATAAGCAGAAGGGGCCCAGGCAGATTCTCCAAAGTCCTGTTACGCTCCACTGACTGTACAGCCCAGCGCCTGTTACAGCTCACCAGAGGCCCTAACCCAATTACACTCCCCTCCTGCTCCAGGCCCGATACCAGACGCTGGGCGGGGTGCAGAGCCCACAGGCTGGGCCTGCGTGTCTGGGTGGGCCTGCTGCAGGCGTGTAGATGTGGCACAAAGGAAGACCTGAAGACAGAGGCTAGGGGTGATGGGAGAGTGAGGAACGAGGAAGAGGAAGCATCAATCTGAGGAGGCCCAGTGCACCCTGACGTGAGGTTTGCAATCAACCAGGCAGCAGATTCCAGAACCTGGACTATGGTTGACATCCGGGGATGTCCTCCGAGGCATCAGGAAACCTCTGGTCAGGCTTAGAGTGCAGAGGGACCCTGACATACCCCGTGCCCTTTGAAATGTAGGCAGAGCATGAGCATTAACCAGGCAGCCGTGGGGGTCGCCCCTATCCTGGCTGCCACCACTCCCTCCCCGAGGACCACCCTCTGGAGCATGACTGCCCTGTTGGATCCATGTGCCCGCTGCCCCTACAGCACTCCACATTGCCCACACTGGTAGTAGGGCAGTCCGCTGGCTCCCTTTCTTTCATAACACTTATCACATCTGCATAGGATAGTACAAAAAGTTCCCGGGGAGAAGTGAGATAATTCCATAGCTCAGCAGCAGCTGCAGCAGCAGCCCCTCTCAATAGTACATCTTTCCTAGGCACCCCGCCCAGCTTTTCTGAAGTGTGAATCGCAGTCCCCGGGGCTGCCTGCGTAAAACAGTGACCTTGTATATCCAGCCTCATTTAAAAAATATATATATATATTTTATTGATTTTTTACAGAGAGGAAGGGAAAAGGAGAGTTAGAAACATTGATGAGAGAGAAACATCGATCAGCTGCCTCCTGCACACCCCCTACTGGGTATGTGCCCGCAACCAAGGCACATGCCCTTGACCGGAATTGAACCCGGGACCCTTGAGTCCGCAGGCAGACGCTCTATCCACTGAGCCAAACTGGTCAGGGCCCTAGCCTCATTTTTCGTGAATTTCCCATTCATTAGCATATCCAAGACTCCAAGCAGCCTCACCCTATGCGCCTGCGATAACTTTCCCACCTTGCAGGAAATGGGCCTTTCCGTTTATAGCATCCCTGAAAACAAAACCAGAGCTGGGAAGGCTTGTTGGGATCACCTACACAAACCATTCGGAAGTTTGCTGCTTTTACTTAACATCAGCATTAAAATGCCTTCACCAACTTCGTTTTCCATGGCAGTTTGATATGGATATGCTATAATCTACTTAAATGTTCCCAATTATCAGGTATTCCTATGCACCTGCAATTATAAATGATACTGCAATGAATTTCTTTGTGTATAAATATTTGTCTGCATTTCTGATTAAATCCACAGGAATGATTCCTGGAAGTGGAATTACTGGGTCAAAAGTTGGAGGTATTTTTGTAGGCTCTTGGTACATATTGTCAATTTTTTTTTCCTGCAAAGGGTTGTGCCTTACACTCCTCTGCCCTCAGAGTAGTGCATTGCACCCTTACTCCATTAGGCATTAAAAAATAGGAAATCCTGGCCGTTTGGATTTTATGTGGGTCACAAAAGATGGCAAGAAGGATGGTATCCAAGGTCAGAAGGGAAGGGCCTCTGGGAGTGGGGAGCAGCCCCAGTCAAGACTCCGCGGTGTGAATGATTAGAAACTTCCCCCGTCAGCTTCTAATTGGGCACCCAAACAGGCCTTTAGCTCAGCCCAGCTTTATGCCTGCGGACTCCTCGCACCAAGTAATCTATGAAGGCAGCTAAAGGAAATGCCTAATTAGGGTTTCATAAATGTGGATCTGTGATCAAGAAGAAAACCCGTGTTAACCCTCGGCTAGAACTGCAGGGAAAAACCACAGCTGAAAAATGATCGAGCCAGGAGAAGGCAGAAGTCAATGTGTCAATGCATAGCTCAACCGAGAAAGAAGGGGAGTAGGCAAAGTTCTTTCCTGGGGGAGAGGACTTTAATTCCCAATTGATTGTGACTCGCTGGAGAATGCAGCCACACTGAGCATGTCCAACGTCATCCCCTGGTGCCCAGAGCCTGCGCTGGACCAAAGACCCCCTGCTCTCTGACCCGCAGGTGTGCTCCTGACGGGGGGTTGGGCTGCTGCTTAGCTGGGAGTGAATCAGAGACCAGAGACCCAGGGCCAGATGTGGAGGAGTTGTAGCAGGGCCATGTCAGAGGAGGTCTGAGGTCTGAGTAGGGAGTAGGGAGTAGGGAATAGGCTGGTACTCCAGGGTGAGTCAGGGGCCAGGGAAGTCTCTGCGAGAGGGGAGAGCAGGCTGGGCGGCTGAGGGCTTGGCCCAGATATCCTTTAAATGCCACATTGAAGTTCTGAGTTGGTCACCACCATTCAAGGCGAGGTGCATTTATGTATCAACCACTGTGTGCTAGGGAGCGCGCGAGGGGTTGCACAGGGCACAGTGCTTCTCAGACACGTCCTTTGCCTTCAGGGGCTTCAGTCTGATGGCATCAGGTACACAAAAGACTCCAATGGACGGGAATGGAGACGAGAGTGATAGACAAGGCGCAGAGCACTGTGAGGCCCCAGGGAGGGGAAAGAGGGCTTCCGGCATGGAGAAGGGGGTGTGTAGGGTGGATATGGAAGGACTGTTAAGATGCCACTCGGAATAGACGGCAAGCACAACATTCCAGGTGCGTGGAGCAGACACCTTTTATTCCTTGAATCACCCATCTCGCTTTTCTACTGCCAAGGCAAGTACTAGGTTGGGGCACGTGGAGGCTCACGCATTCATTCGCTTCTGCAGATGTTCACTGAATGTGCGTCCTGCTCTGCGAATGAAAGAAAACACTTGCTCTATGGAGCTTCCAGTCCAGTCACAGAATTGACAAAACCCTTGTTGTGACTCAGGCCTGCACAGGCTTTTCAAGGTCCCAGATTCACCCTGTGGAGGAGGGGGCATCTGATGCACTGGCAGGAGGACAGGGGCAAAGACACAGGTGGGAGGGTCAGGCTGGCTTGGGAAAGGTGAGGAGTGGGCGATGAGGCTGCAAGGGTAGATGTGGAACTGAGCCCCGAGGAGGTGGTCTACTTCTATTCTGTAGGCAATGGGAGATCTGGGTGTTTGCGGGCCAGAGGAGGAGGATGGTCGTCATAACAACAATGAATCTTAGAACACATTTTTCCATTTTGAAGCAGCTTTTCAGATTCCTGATCCTATTTAATCCTTGCTGCAATCTTACAAAGTAGGAGGGCCAGCTGTGTCTTAGGCACCTTTGGAAATAAAGGGAAGAAATGACATGGTTTCTAATCTCAAGGAATTATAAGGATCACACAATCATAAACACATGCACATGCACACACACACACACACACACACACCCTCACAGCAGAGGCTGATCTCTTACGTGATGCGCTTGTATGTCGTTGTCCCTGAATGGCCCCACTTGATGTTCTACAGACTTTTCAAACTCACTGAGCCCAACACTGAGTTGAACACCCTCTGTGCTCCAGTCTCAGCTGCTCCTCCTCCTGGATCCCCCTCAGCGAATGATTCCTCCTCTGACCTGTCGT